TGTTTACTGTAAACAATACTATTTGCTCTCCTGGTTAGTGAGTCTACAGAACTCGAATAGAATTTTGCATGTTAATCTTGTGTCCTCCCATGTCGTTGAGTCTTTTTTTTTTTTTTTGTCGTTGAGTCTTTTGATTGTTTCAGCAATTCTTTTTGTTGAGTCTAGGATTTTCTAGGCATAAAATCATATCATGTGTGAATAGTGAGAGTTTTATTTCTTCTTTGCCAAACTTGATTCGTTTGATTTCTTTCTTTTTTCTATGTAGGCTGCCAAAGGCAGGCAAAGGAAAAGAGCACTGCTCTCCCCCAAGACCCTCTAGGCAGCCCATATTCTATTCCAAGCTGCTGCCATCCTGAGAGGGGCACTCGGTCCCTGGGAAGAGGGAATTATCTTGGACCCTTTGACTTCTTTTTGTTGATGTATAGTCCTGACTAAGTTTTCCCGCACAATGTTGCATAGGTGGAAAGGAATAAGGGAATAGCAATAAGGAAATAAGCTGGTTCCTTTTTTCAAGAGGAATGCCTTCAGCTTCTCCCAAATTGAGTGTGACGTTAGCTGTGGGTTTTCCACACAAGGGCTTTATTATCTTGAGAACTTTCCTTTCTATCCCTCTTTTGCTGCGTGTTTTCAGGAATGGTTGTTGGATATTATCACATGCATTTTCTGTGTTGATTGATATGATCCTACCGTTCCTATCTTTTGATTTGCTTATGTGGTGGAGTCCATTGATTGTCTTTCTAAATATGCCTGGTATGGATCCTACATGATCATGATGTATTAGGTTTTTGAAATATTGTTGGATTCTATTGGCCAGGATTTTGTTGAGAATTTGTGCATCTATGTTCATGAGGCATGTTGGTCTGTAGTTTTCTTTCTTGATCGTTAGCGTCTTTCTCTGGTTTTGGTCTCAGGGATATATTCTCGCTTCATGAAATGAGTTCATGGGCTTACTGTCCTTTGCTATATTGAAATAATTGGTGAAAAGGGGTGTCAACTCTGCTCTGAATGTTTAGTAAAATTCTCCAGTGACGCCATCTGGTCCTAGACTTTTGTTGGTTGGAAGATTTGTAAGGCCCTGATCTATTTTTTCTTTTATGATTGGTTCGTTGAGGTTTTCTACATTAGTCTGTGTGAATTTGACTAGGTAGTATATTTTTAGCAATATTTCCATATCATCTAGGTTTTCAAATTTGTTAGAGTCCAGCCTTTTGTGGTACTGTTTTATTACTTTTTAAAATTTCATTTGGATCTCTTGTGATGTCACCCCTTTTATCTCTTATCCTTGATATTTACGTATTCTCCTTTTTTCCTTTCCTAAGTTTGTCAGTGGTTTCCCAATTTTGTTAACTCTTACAAAGAATCAACTTCTTGTCTTGCTGATTTTTTCCAGTTATTTCTGCTGTAATATTTATAATTAATTTTCTCCTGATGGTTGAAGGTTGGTTACTCTTTTCTAGTTTAGTGGTTCTCAACCTGTGGTCTCGACCCCTTTGGGGACCAAGTGAGGGCCAAGTGACCCTTTCACAGGGGTCGCTTAATGCATCCTGCATATCAGATATTTACATTATGACTCATAACAGTCTTTATGACTAAAATTTGATGACTAATTACAGTTATGAAATAGCAATGAAAATAATTTTGTGGTTGGGGCCACAGCATGAGGAACTGTATTAAAGGGTTGTAGCACTAGGAAGGTTGAGACCCCCTGTTCTAGTTGTTGAAGATGCTAGGTTAAGATGTTGATTTTAGTTTTTCTGCTTTTTTCATATGGGTGTTTATAGCAATAAATTCTCCTCTGAGTATTGCTTTTGCTGTGCACCAAAGGTTCTGGCATATTGTGTGTTCATTCTCATTTGTCTTAAGGAATTTCTTAATTTCATTCGTATATGGTCAATTACCTAGCAGTCTTTAAGCAGTGCATTGTTCAGTCTCTGTGTATTTGTTCATTTCTAACTTTACAGCACTGTAGTCTAAGAACAAGGATGATTCCATCTCTATTTTAAAATCTATCAAGGCCTCGTAGATGACCTTTTCTAGAGGGTGCTCTATGCGTACTGGAAAAGGGTGTATACTGTATTCGTGTTAGGTGGAGTGGTCTGTTTAAGAGGAGGCGGTCCAGTTGGTTAAATTGTACTTAGGTCTTCGGTGTCTTTATGGGATTTCTTTCCCAATGATCTGTTTTCCTTGAGGGTGGTGTTGAAGTCTGCTACTGCTACTGTTCTGTTGTCTGTTCCTCGTGTCCGTCCCGTGAGCGTTTGATTACCACATTGCATCAGTCTTTCATTAGATGAGTATGTTATGGTCATGTCTCTAGTTCTGTTCTCCCTCCTGGTGGCTTTTGTCCTGAAGTCTACTTCACTGGAGAGTGACAGAACCACCCTTGCGGTTTCTTTGCTTGCCATTACCTCGGTATTTTCACCTCATCTGTTGATTTTCCATCCAGTTTTGTCTCTGTGTCTACAAGATGTTTCTTGTAAGCTGCATTTTGATGGGCGTTTTTCTTTTCTTTTTTATCTTATCCAATTTGCTACTCTATGTCTCTTGACTGGTCCATTTAGTACACTAACATCCAGGGTTGTTACTGATATGTGTGGATTTGTTGCTGTCATTTTGATGTGTATTTAAAAAAAATGATTATTGGTTTCTTTGTTCTTTCTAAATCTTTGTTCTGTTTTTACTTTAATTTAAAAAAAGTAATCATTTTATTGAGGGCTTGTGTTAGTCTGGGTAGACTACAGAAACAAATTCAAGGAGAGTCATGGGTGTATAAGAAAGAGCTTTATATACAAGAGCAATTAAATATTGAGAAAACATCTCAGCCCAGTGCAGATCAAGTCCATAAGTCTGATATTAGCCCATGTCTAATATCAGTCTATAAATTCCTCTTCAGATTCACACAACACATGCAATGACATCGAATGCAGGAAGATCACAGGTCAATGGGTGGAAAGTGGATCCAGTGGTGGTGGAAGCATCTCAGTGCTGGTGTGGGTCTGCACATGGCTCCTCTAGCTCCAGGGCTCTAACGTAGCTCCATGTATCTTGTCATCAGGAATACCAAGCAGAGAGCGTGTGTGTCCCGCCTCCAGTGAGCTATTTATCTCTTCAGCGCCTCCAAATGAGGTCATCAAGCAGCGACCTGATTGACAAACTAAATCCCCCCCCTCACTCTCAATAGTCTCAAGTTGGCACCAGATTATGTAACGACCACAGGGCTCTTACAGCTTTTATAACAA